ACTTTGATTGTTCTGTAATTCTGTGATATCAGATGCGATGTGGTTGGAATCTCTGGTCACCATAGACGCTGCATACGCAGGGTGAGGACGGTGTAGACACAACACGCTCTGCTATCAGGGTAAGTATCAAGGGATGTGTCTGACAATGAACGAAACCTCCCGAGATTTCTGTACAAACAACTCCAGATCTGAATGTGGAACACGACGACGTCATACCGCCTAGTACACAACACGGCCCGCCATCAGCTCCATCACTTCATCGGAGACCGTGTCTGAGCATTCTACAGATATGCCAACCTAGGACAAGACGGCCACACAGCACACAGCCTCCTCATTGATCTATTTATCAGCAAGAAACATTATAATTCCGTCATCAGACAACGGGTGTCACCGCAGTTTATATGTCATTTAGTCAGAGTTTACGTCTACTTGGAAGAAAGCCAAAATCAAAAAGGTTTTATTAGAAGCTGAACTCCGGGATAACCAAATATTGTCCTCATACTAGAGTCCTGTGTGTTCTTCCTGAATCTCAGTGAGCTCTGTGTATTTCTTCCAGATCTGTGCAGTAATCCAGTGTGAGACTCGGAGCTTCCTGTAATAAAGACAATAGTCATTGTGCAGGCAGCCTGTAGTGGGTGGAGCCTGAGTCCCTCCCACAGCACAGTTATGATATCACTGCTACATTTGCATGGTGATATCTGGGTCTGTAGAAGCTGTTGGTGCACACAAAGTGGATCTATATCATTCGTATCTATGAAGGATACATTTTTGGTGAAAGCTTTCGCAGCCAGAGTTCAGCCTGAAACTTACGGAAAAGTCAATACTTCCAGAAGAGATGTGCTTCAGGTTCAGGGGAACCCCAAGACCACAAGAGCTTCAAAACCAAAAATATATGCGTCCCCCACATCCCTTAACCCCCCTCCCCCTTATTACTTTTATTACTGTGTTACTTTGTAAATCCTAAATAAAGAGATATTTCAGAATATTATAACGTTACACAGTCTGCTCTGTAACATGTGGCCGGCTCTGGGCCCTCCTCCTGACACATCTGATGTATATTTACAATGATGAAGAATAGGGCAATGCTCCACAAATATAGGACAATCCCCCGGGGCAGAGGCCGTGTCTTGTAGTCTGACTCCTCTTAAGAGTAAAGAGGGTTAAAAACCTAAAACTCCTCCTAAAGTGACCAGAAAGCCAACAGTGTCCCCCCTCTTCCCCATGTTCCATTCACTTTCAATCTGCTTAGTAAGGAAATCCTTTGTGCACACAAGAACAGTTTTGCAAGTCAACGACGAATAAATCGGTTTGAGGCAATAAGTCGGGTCGTCCTCTTCATGTCAACAATGTAAAAAAAGCCCAAAAAACCAAAACATTTTCAGCTGGTAAAAATATTCCAGGCAGGTGCTGGGGTAACGCACGCATTCATGATGTTGCTGGGGGCTGGCCGCCCTGCGTTTTGTGGAGACGAGCTTACTGCAAAGGATGGGGAGGAAGAGCGAGGGGGGGGTCATGTGACGTGGGCCAATAAACAGCATCTGGGGACATTCAATTACAGGCCCTCACCCAGCATGCCTGCACTGTAATCTCTACCAGATGAGGCTCAGGCCTCACTATTTTCAATAATTCACACACTGTGTACACATAAACTGACAATAAGGGCATTCATGCGGCCGCCTGATTCGCAGATCAAAGCTCCCAAATGGGCGGCTGTAGGCATGCTTCTGCTGAATAATTCATTCTTTTCACAGGCCTGGAAAAAAAAAAACTGCTCAGCGGGACTTGGCTGATCGGGTCCCTTTCCTGTGCACTGTGCTAAGTTCACAATGTGCAAGGGAAGTGGCCTTCTAGAGCAAAAGGAGGAGGAGGAGGAGGAGGGCGTTCTTCCCCAAAAAAAGTCAGAAAGGAAGAGGAGGGATCTGAAGTGTCTACAGAGGGGAAAACATAAGATGGGAGATCAACATGTAACAGACTATTATAAACCATGAAACAAAAAGCTGAATCACCACCAATGAAAGAACTCCGGGGAACTCCAACCTTCCCTTCAGGCTTGGAGTCAGTGGGAGATGTGGAGGTGCAGTGTGGGGACAGGAGGATTGTAGGTCCAATTCACCATGTCCAGGGCTTGATCTGAAGACTGTGGAGGTTTTTAAATCTGACCTCCGTCCTCCCCTTCAGTCTTCTATCTGAACTCCGGCCTTCCCTCCAGTCTTCTATCTGACCTCCATCCTTCCCTTCAGTCTTCTATCTGACCTCCATCCTTCCCTTCAGTCTTCTATCTGACCTCCGTCCTTCCCTTCAGTCTTCTATCTGACCTCCGGCCTTCCCTTCAGTCTTCTATCTGACCTCTGTCCTTCCCTTCAGTCTTCTATCCGACCTCCATCCTTCCCTACAGTGTTGTACCGGCTCCTCTTCCTCCGATGTCACTGTACACTGGGAGCTTCTCACAATGTACATTAGAAGCTGCAGCAAGTCAGATAGAGCTCTGCCTCATTTCCTGGCTGGAGGACGTCCAGCATTATCTTGCACTTTAATCCTCAACCTGACTTTCCCTGGCCCCACCCCTTTCAATAATTGGATTTCCGCTCTTTAATTGGTGGACTCTCAGCATCACATGTGGGTGTTACCTAGGGCTGTCTGAATGCAAATACAACCTGCCTAGGAACGCCCGCTCCTCCAGACTGATATCCTCCCATTAAGGCATTTTGATATTTGCATAACTCCTCCCAAGAGCCCACCCACTGCTTGCATCAGGGCTGAGGGCTCTTCAGAGGAGTACTGAGGCAGGGCGCCGTGATGTTTACAGGAAGCTATGTACAGCCCCTTGCTGACCCCTCCCACCAGCCATGATCTGCCTGCATTGCATAGAGAATAGAGACCCGGTGATAAGGCCACCAGGTTCAACATAAGATGTGTAATAAAGGAAGGAGGAAGGAGGAGGGAGGGGAGGGGGGGGACACCAGGGAAAGCAAACTATAATCAGATTAAACAATCTTTAGGTGTATGTAAAGCAAGCTTTTGTTTGTTTTTTTAGGTTACGCACGATTGCATCCACTCAGAAAGAAAAATGGAAGAGGAGTAACATGCCCCCCCTCCAATTACCGGAATTGCACGGTGTTTCCTTCACGCCACACAGTGTGGGAGTGAGGGAGAGAAAATAGGTACATGCTCCATGGGATTGGGATATATAAAGCAAACCTGAGGACTAGGGTCTCATTCACATGGGTGCATGAGGCCATCAAGTGTAAGCTGCACTTCCGTACCTGGGAATACCGGCTGCGACATAAGGTTGTATAGGTGTACAGCCCTGGGCGCAGCCAAGCGCACCGCCTTATGCATACGGGGGTTCACGCAAGTAGCGACATTAACCCGTATATAGCCACCTACACCCATTCACTACTATGGGACAGCCGTTTGCTGGTTATCCAGGGCACTTAAATACGTCCACAATTTACAAAAGCCTCCATATCCGTGTGCACGAGGCTGGAGAGAGGAAGAACTTACAAATCCTTATTTGCAACATTGTAAAGCAAGCGGGTAAAACCCAAAGTCTTGCCAAAATTTCAGGCAAGTCCCGCGTCAAAGAGCTGAAAGCGCGTATTCCAAGCTGTAATCTTCTTTATGCATAAACCCGACACTATTACTTGTAGAGAAAGCATTACTATTATATATAGAATAAAACACGGTTTGTCCTTGCTGTGGCACCAGGACAAGGATCCTGTGCAGAGCCCGATTCTATATCCGCATGTGCGATTGTTTGTTTTTCCCCCCTTCTCTCCTTTCAAGGTTTGAAATTGAAATGAGAAGGTAATGCGCGTTTCGAGTGCTTTGTTTGATTGTGTTAAGGTTTCATGGCTGTCAGTCAGCGGCAGCACAGCAGCATGAACTAGGGGTGACCTCCCCCTTGTAGAAAGCATTCTGCTAGCCAGCTGTGCGTTGTGTACTCTGCATTATTCACAAAGCTTTCCCTCCTAAATCACAATGATCCGCACAACTTCTAAAACTCATCAATTGTTATTTAAACCCGGCCTACAATGGACGAGCGCTGCGGCCTTTGTGGACCCTGTCCTGCAGCAGCTGACACTTGGTTTCCTGACAAATCCAATTTAACAGCTACAAGACACTTGAGGCAGCTTCATTTCAAGATGGCAACCCACTGCTGGAAGGGCGGTGGGGGGGGGGTTAATGAATATCCGACGCCTGCGGAGCTAGTGTGCCCATATGCTAATATGTATATTCGCACCTACCATCAAAGTAAATCAACTGTTAAACGTGATGGCAGCTGCCGTCTATGTTCCAGAATGCGAATATATTCTTTAGTCTTTTTTTTCTTTTCCGACATCCGTCTTATGTGATAAGGGATATGGAATGAACATGACCCGGTTCAGGCTGCGCACTTTTTGCAATACGCTGCCTGCGCGCTTGCAATTCTTTTGACATGTTAGCGTAGATCTAAAACACGCTTATTAAAGCTCATCGGTTTTAGAACTCATGAACACGGGTGGCTGAGCCAGCACAATGTAAATACCGGGGTATCTTCCCCACCAGGGAGCCACAGGT